AATTTTTCCTTTTCGCGGGCTCGAAACCCGCGACCTCTGTACTACATGCCTGATATGGATGCATCACTATCTACTGTATGATTAGATTAGATGGGGCGGCAGTGTGCGGCACAGCTCGGGCTCCGCTGACACAGCCGCTGTGACTCACCGGCCCCCGGGGCCGTGTCAGCATGCTGTGCACGGACCAGCTGTGCACGGACCAATGCGCACAGCCTCCCCTAAACTTCCCCTGTATATAAGCCTGCCTCTGCTGCCCTAGGGACCTCAGTTTCGACCTCTTGTCCCTAGCCTTAGGTTTGAGCCTCGCTCACCATCGCTTCGGTAAGACAAGTTGAATGCCCCCAGCTTTAGGTTTTCCCCTGTCGCTTGACCCTAAGTCGCGACATTAGGTCGAAACTCCCCAACGCTGCCGGCATTCCAAAACAAACACACTCACTTCCCTCTCCCATAGGTCGGGTGGTGCGCACCCTTACTGTACCCTACAATACGTAGATAGCCTATGATACATCGCCAACACTTGAGAGACGAACTCTTCAGTACCTGCACTTCAGTGGGCGGTACTTGTCCTCATGGACGCGTAGCCTTGGTTCCTGCTGCATACTAGCCAAAAGCAGTATTGGGCCCTACGTGAACTGCAAATCTCAGTGTCGTCTCGGGCGCCGTAGGTGTAAGCTAGTTTACAACGGCCTTTTGTAGCACGCGCACCTTCCCTTCCTTCCCCCATCGTGGCTGCGTGTCAAGGCCTTGTTCACGCCTTCGATTCTCAGGACCTCGTTGACGTCTACATCCCAGACGGTCCTGACGCCCTTATCCTCACCTGCGAGCAGCAGCCGTGCCCAAATCGGACACCTCGATCAATCGACCAGGACTATCTGCGCTATAAAGCGATCCGAAGGGCGCAACATCCGCTCGGTCCTCGAAGCACCCTCGCATCTCGATCTGCCTCACGGCATTCTCGCCCTGTCTCTCCCAGCTCCCGTCTTCCCCGACCGGTCGCCGGTCCAAGTCAAGCGCGAGGAGATATCCCTCCAGACCCTGTGCCAGAGCAAGAGCCTAAGGAGAGTGCGAGTGAAGAAGGAGTCTCGGAGCCCGAGCCCACTGATCCTGCTCGGCCCGCCTCGCCGACAGCGCTCGCCCCCGCGTCAGCAGTCCCTGACGTACGTGACCCCGCCCCCGGGCTTCCTCCCGCGCCGTCTCCGCCGCGAGGCCGCTCGCACACTCGCTCCCCTCGAAGTCCGACCAGCGGAGGGCCACCACAGCCGCCTCTGCCCCCGCGCCGTCCTCCGTCCCCCCCGGCGCCGATAATGTCGTCTCCCTCGACCGCCCCCGACAAGGAGACCCTGAAACTTCTCCTTCCCCTCCGGTATGACAGCAAAACCGTCATCGAGTGCGACAGGTTCCTATCGCAGCTGCACATCTACTGGCTGGTCAACACGTCGTTGACCACCATTGAACTCAAGGTGCAGGTTGCACTGAGCCTGCTCGACGGTGACGCCCGCACCTGGGCCACTCCATACTTCGCCCAACTCGTATCCGTGCAACTCGGTGTTCGGGGAGTGACGACCCCCTTCGCAAATGAGGCGGCCTTTGCCACGACTTTCAAAGCCCGCTTCGGCAACCTCGACGATGAGGCAGTGGCCCAGGTAGAGCTGGCCAAACTCTGCGCAGACAAATGGGTCCGTGAAAAACGCACTGCGGTGGAGTTCTCCGCGCTGTTTAAGGGTCCAGCGGACCGCTCCGGGTATGGGGACCTGGAGTTACGCGACAAGTACCTGAGCGGCATCCCCTCCCGCGTCTACCGCAAAATCGAGCTCGAGACGTTCACCACGTGGGAAGACGCTGACAAGCGCGCCACGGAGGTCGAACAGATCCTCGATATCAGCCGGGCCCGTCGGCCTGAGTTGAACAGTTTCTTCTCAGCTCGAGGTCGAGGACGCGGCGGGGCACGTGGTGGTGCGCCCCAGTCACACGGAGCTTCGGCCAGCATCAATGCGGCCGTCGTAAAAAGCAATTTCCCCGGCAATTGTTACGGCTGTGGGAAGAAAGGGTACCGACACTTCGAGTGCCCCAATTGTAAGGACAAGCCTTACACAAAACGCGCTGACACGTGGGCTACGGTTGCCTCGGGTTCCACCCAGGTTGCGACAAGCGCCCCCGTCGCTTCATCCTCGGTGAATACAAGCGCCACTTCAGCGAAATCAGAAAGTTCCGAGCTGGCGGACTTAGTAGCACAGATGAAGTCGATGCGCGAGGAGCTCGAGCACTATCGGGCGATGAAGGAGGAGTCTTTTTGATCCGGTCCGCGCTTCGTGCCGCACGTGTCGGACCGAGTACCTCATGTAACAAGTATAACGTATTGTCTACTGCAATGGTGTACGAGCTGGACCAGGGGTCCCAGCATTTTCACATTCCAGTACGACTCCAAGGAAAAAGATGGCACAAAGACGTAATCGCTATGGTGGACAGCGGAGCCACCACGAAGTTTATCAACAAGCAATTTATCGTAGAAAATAAGGTGCAGATGCGAAGGCTGAAGGAGCCCATTCCGCTCTATAATATCGATGGCACCCTGAATAAGGACGGAAGCATCTCAGAAGTAGCAGTGCTACAGATGCACATAGGAGAACACGTCGAAAAGACGGTGTTTACGGTCACGGACATCGGTCCAGAGGATGTGATCGTTGGGTTGGATTGGCTACGTGAACACAACCCCGAAATCAACTGGGAGGAAGGCTCCCTAAAGTTATCCCGATGCCCTGAAACGTGCAGTGCCAGGAGGACTGGCCGGATGGAGCAAGCAGCGACTGCGCATGATACGGGGGTCAGGCCCACGGCGCGCAGGCGTTCGCCGAAATCCAAACGGTCGGTCATAGGTGCCTGCCGGAGTAAGGTACTACCGGACTTCGAACCCGAAGAAGATCCGGTAGATGTCGAGTGGGACGAAGCCGACTTGATCGAGGCCTGGGAGCAAAGTATTATGCTTCCTGGTGCCCCTCAACTGTTCATCGCAGCCGGGCATACGTACTCCCAGCTGTTCGCTGAGGAGGAGATCAAGAAGAAAGTCGTTAAGACCGCCGAGGAGTCGGTGCCTAAACAGTACCACGAGTTTCTGAAGGTCTTCTCAAAAGAAGCATCAGAACGGCTACCCGAAAGGAAGCCGTACGATCATGCAATCGAACTCGTGCCCGGCTACTCGACATTCCATTCAAAGGTCTATCCCCTGTCGAACAATGAGCAAGAGGAGCTTGACAAGTTCCTAAAGGAACAGCTAGCGAAGGGTTACATACGGGAATCGAAGTCACCTATCTCATCCCCCTTCTTCTTCATCAAAAAGAAGGAAGGGACGCTTCGACCCGTGCAGGACTACCGTCAGTTGAACGTGATCACGATTAAAAATCGCTACCCCTTGCCACTGATCGCCGAAATGGTCGACAAACTCCGCGGCGCTACGCTGTTCACGAAGTTCGACGTCCAATGGGGATACAACAACGTCCGGATCAAAGCCGGTGATGAATGGAAGGCAGCCTTCGTAACTAACCGGGGTCTGTACGAACCCCTGGTGATGTTCTTCGGCCTCACCAACTCCCCCGCGACTTTCCAGGCGATGATGAACGAGATCTTCCATGATCTCATTGTCGGCGGCAAGATCCTCGTGTACCTAGATGATATACTCATCTTCTCTACCAACAAAGAGGAGCATGAGAAGGTTACGCGCGAGGTCCTCCGCCGCCTGCAGGACAATGATCTGTTCCTAAAGCCTGAAAAGTGTGAATGGGACGTTCCCAAAGTCGACTATGTCGGCTATGTGTTCGGTGGCGATGAGGTAGCGATGGATCCCGCGAAGCTAAAAGGAATTAATGAGTGGCCGGTACCCCGGAACAAAAAAGACGTTCAGAAGTTTCGGGGGTTTTCCAATTTCTACTGCCGCTTCATTAAGGACTTCGCCAAGATCTCGCAACCACTCGACTGACTCACAGGGAACGACCCATGGCATTGGGGCAAGGAAGAGCAGCACGCCTTCGATGAGCTCAAGCGGCTCTTTGCCACAACTCCGGTCTTGGCGCTGTATGACCCAAATCGAGAGACGCGCATTGAGGTTGATGCCTCGGGCTACGCCACTGGCGGCGTATTGATGCAGAAGCAGGACGACGGCAAATGGCATCCTATCGCCTTCCGGTCTCATGCTATGGACCCTGCCCAGCGTAACTACGAGATCTACGATAAGGAGATGCTTGCGATCATTGAAGCACTAGAAGATTGGCGCCACTATCTCGAGGGATTGCCCAATCAGTTCGAGATCGTCACTGATCACAAAAACCTCGAATACTGGCGCACGTCCTAGCACCTCACGCGTCGTCAAGCGTGATGGTCACTATTCCTGGCCTGCTTCGACTTCCGCATCACGCATAAGGCTGGAACGTCGAATGGAAAGGCTGATGCCCTGTCACGTTGATCAGATCATCAGATCGGCGATGAGGACGATAACACCGATCAGGTGGTTCTCAGACCTGAAAGGTTCCGCATCGCCTCCACCAGGCGCGGCCATGAAACATTTGTCTTTCCGTTCTATTCCTTGTACTACTAGCGCCCATACTGGCGCCTGTCTTAGCGCTCACCCGCAGGTTGAACATTATGTAGCTTACATAATGGGGTCCGTGCGCACTTCGCGCCTGGTATCGTACCACTACGTTTCTTTCTTCACTAACATGACCACATAGACACGATGGTCCGTGCGTAGTCGGTACTTGTATAAGTAGTTGTACCATTAGTTGGTCGAACCCTAAGTTCGACCTAGTTATTCATTCAAGTCTCTGCTCCTCTTCGCTTGGGGTAGTGGTCATTCTCGACTTCCTCGCTCGATCTTCAGGACGACACACTGTCCATAAGTCCTCGCTCGTCGTCTACGAGTCAGGCATCAATATAGGAGTGTAGACCATTGTATCAAAAGGTCGAACTTTCTAAGCTATGTTCCTAGTTTCACCTAGTCAAACAACTCATCCACCATCACGTCGAACAACGCAGTAAACCCGGTTCCCTTGGGACTACCAGCCCTCGCAGGATCTCCCCTTCTCCAGTACGACCGAGCAGACCGTTGCTTCGTCACCACCACAAGAAGGACTCCCATCTATCCTCGAGGCGGCTCCTGGGTTCGCGCAGAAGGTTCCAACCCGCAGATCGTCGCCCATCAACAGCTTGTTAGCTATTACCAGAGACACCCTCCCGCTCACCCAGAAGACGTATTCGCCATCCTACGAATCAACGTCGAACCAGCACAAACAACAGAGAACCTACAGTCACCTGTTAACGAACAACCGTTCGAGCTCCCGGACGTTCAGTACGTTCCCATCGAGGCTCCAGAACTACCACCAGCTCCACCTGCACCAACCAACGCACCGGTTGAAGTCCCTATGGCAACGTTCACTCAAGCAGACATCGATCAGCGCATCGCTGTCGCCCTCGCAGCATACCAATCCCAACAGTCAACTGCCAACCGACCCCTTCGCCTTGACAT